CTCCCACCCAAGGCCGGCCTCCGCTAGGGGCCGCTGCCGCTCCCACTGCCGCTCCCGCTGCCCGCCGCGTCAGGATGGAGCGAGAGCGGCGGGAGCGCCGGGAGGCAGCTTCCCGGGCCCACCGTCGGGGTCTGGGATGCGGCAGCGCCGAGATGGAGGTGTTGAGGCAGTGACGGGCGCCGGGCGCGGCCACCGGCAGGGCGTGGCCCAGAACCGAGCGACAAAGGTCCGCCCCGTCGGAGAAGGTCTAGGAGAAACGTGGAATCAGGCCCCGAATGGGCGGAGTCCGGAGGCGCCGGGGGCGGGTTTTGTTTCCGGGGCGTGGCTAGGGGCGTGGCCTCGGGCCGGGGAAGTTCGGGAGCCCCTTGAGGGTGGGGTCAGGGGCCCGGAGTCGGTGGGCGGGACCAGAGTGGGGGCGGGTCCTCCTGGGGCCCAGGGGACCGAACCGTAGGGGGAGCGGGAGAGGGCAAGATTTAAGCTGGGACCTTGAAGAGGGTGACTGGGCTTCTGGGTGCTCCAGGGCGAACCGTGGACGGGCCCAGGGCAGAGAGGGGGCCCTGGGACGGGCAGACCTGGACTCAGCGGGTCCCTGAGACGCTATGGACACTTCCGGTCTGGAGATTGGTCTGAGGAAGGGGCAAGGGTGGGAGCAGGGTCCTTGGGACTCTGGGGTCTAGGCACGTTAGATGGAACATGGTGGGGGGACCTGAGTCTCCTTCCCTCGCCGTCTGCCCCACGCTCACCTGTCCATAGGTACGGCAGCCGGGCTCACAGTCCCTTTTTTCTGAAAGTGGGATCCAAGTTGGGCCGCAGGTGTTATCATCCTTGCAGGTGTCGAACCTGGGAATGGTGTGTGGAGAGGTGGCTAAAGGCTCCGCTGCCGTGTACAAGTGGGACTCGCGCTCACCAAGGCTCGGTTCCGTATAAGCCCCTCCCTCACATCCAGGCCCTGCCTCTTAGGACCACTCTCCTACAAATCTCATCCCTCCAGATTTCACCCCGCCCCATATTCTATCAGATCTTTCCATTCACACTCTGGGCCTCGTCACAATGGATCTCATCCCTTCGGACCTCAGACTAGCTGTTCCAGGTCAGCCCCTTACGTTTTCCCACCCTTTAGCCTTCTCTTTTCAATCAAGAGGGCCCACCCCCGCGGTTTTTCTTGCCTATGCCAGCTCTGGCATTTCTCTCTCTCTCTCTCCCCTCTTTTCCTTCTCTAATAAACTTTGCTTAAAAACTTGGGGGCGGGGGAAGAGGCACCGCCCCTTAAAAAAAACCTAGGCCCATGAAAGGTCACACCCCCATACTGCCGTCTTTTTTGTTTGTGTTTTTGGGTTTTTTTTGAGTTAGAGTCTCACCCTGTCGCCCAGACTGGAGTCCAGTGGCACACTCACAGCCACCGCAGCCTGACCTGCTGGGCTATGGGGGTCCTTTTGTCTCAGCCTCCCAAGTAGCTGGAACTACAGGCGCGCGCCACCACATCTGGCTAATTTTCTTATTTTTTGTAGAGACGTGGTCTCGCCAAGTTGCCCACGCTGGTCTTGAACCCCTGGACTCAGGCAATCCCCTCGCCTCTGCCTCCCAAAGTACTGGTGTTACAGGCGTGAGCTACCACGCCCGGCCTATACTGCCGTCTTAAAAACCATGGGCTCCACAGGCTTCGCCCTTTTCTCCTTCGCCTCTTAACCCTAGGCGACATCCCTTAGACTTGGCCCGGTTGTAGGCCACGCCCCTTCGCAAAGGCGCCGCGAACCTCAGACCCCGCCCCCGCCCCACAGACCACGCCCCCTTCGCCCCGCCTCTCCTACCAGGCCTGGCAGAGCTCAGCGCAGAGTGGTTGCGCCTGGCGTACCCCCAAGAGCCGCAGGCGGAAGCGACTGCGGAGAGCAAGTTGGAAGTGTCCCAGGAAGGATTCGCACCTGGACATCGAAAGAGACAGAGTCGAATGCGTCAAAGTTCTCAGGGGTTCTGGCCCCCGACAGGGGCAACTGGGCAAAGTACACGAGAAAACGCTGGAGGGTACTGTACTCACCCGGGGCTTGGCGCACTACAGCGTTCTGGAAAGATCCCAGGGCTCGATACCTCTGGTGTGTTCACCTCTGAGGGGCAACAAGGTCCTGGCAGAGGGGACCCCTGTGAGCTGGAGTCTTGTATCCTCAGGTAAGGTTTGGGAACCGAGGTCTGGGGGTCTCCTGGACAAAGACCCCAATTACATCAAGCCTCCCAAACATAAAACTTAAGACACTTACCAGGAATGCAAATGTGACTTCAGGTAATACTAATTATATATTTTGTATAATAATTAGCTTATTATTATCATGTGCCTGGCTGTGGTATAAGTGCTCATGCACTTTTTTTTTTTTTTTGAGTCGGAGTCTTACTCTGTCCCCCAGGCTGGAGTGCAGTGCTGTGGGACGCTCACCGCCACCGCAGCCTCGACTTGCTGGGTTCAGGTGATCCTTCCGCCTTAACCTTCCAAGTCGCTGGAATTACAGGCACGCGCCACCACACCTGGCTAATTTTTTGATTTATTGTAGAGATGAGGTCTCACCAAGTTGCTCAGGCTAGTCTCCAACCCATGGGCTCAGGCAATCCTCTCACCTCAGCCTCCCAAAGGGCTGGGATTATAGGTGTGAGTCACCGTGCCTGGCTGCTCATGTGCTTAATCTTCACAACACCTCTATGAGGCACGTCTGTTATTTCTGCCCTTTTTTGGTGGCCCATGTGAGGCCCAGAAAGGTTAGGTGGCTTGCTCAGAGTCACACAGCAACAAAGTGGCAGTTGGGATTTGAAACCAGGCAGACTCCAAATTCTGTGCTCTAAACAACCATTCTTCAGCACCAGGCCCATATGCCCCCCACTGGCGGCCACTCTAAACCCCTCATAAAGAAAATCTGACCGGGCTTGGTGGCTCAACCTGTAATCCCACGCCTTTGGGAGGCTGAGCTGAGTGGATTGCCTGAGCCCTCGGGTACGAGACCCGCCTGGGCAACTTGGCAACACCTCATCTCTACAATAAATCAAAAATTAGCCGGGTGTGGTGCACACACCTGTAGTTCCAGCTACTTGGAAGGCTGAGGCAGAAGGATCGCCAGAGCCCAGCAGGTCGAGGCCAGTCTGGGTGACAGAGTGAGACTCCAACTCAAAAAACAAAACAAAACAAAACAAAAAACCAAAATCTGGTACTGCCATGGTGGGATGGGGGCATCCTGGGTGTTGGGGGCTAGGCAGGGTCTGGGGGTTTACCTGGCAGGTGCAGCTGGCCTGTGCCAAGATCAGGTGCCAGTCCATGGTGTAGCCGGGACCTCGCTTGGAGTGGGTGGCTCCCTCCACAAGCCCCCAGTAGAATCCATACCAGGGTCAGTTGCAGGGCCCAGGCCAGGCCATTCAGTTGAGTGTGGTCCCTGCAGGCCATGTCCACCTGAGAGAAGAGCCAGCTCGAGTAGGGGGATGAGGTGAAGCCATTCATTTCTGGGAGCTCAGGGAGGCACCCTTACGAAATGCACCCAGGAGTCAGTGCCAGGCAGAGTCGAGTACAGATCACTAACAAGGAGGCCAGGTAGGGACCATGGATGTTTAAATCCCTAGATCCAGGGGCTGTTTCTGACCCAGGAGGCCTGCCCCCATCAGACCCGTGTCCCCTTCATCCCTTCAGGCTCAGGTACCACCCCCCCAGCTTAGACCATGGCAGCCCTCCCCCTCCCATCCTGGAGGGTCTCCCACCTTTTTTGGCCCTCAAGCGACCCCCTCTTTCCTTAGAACCAAGGGGACCTCCCCAATCCCCCTCTCCTGTTCAGTAATTCCTCCCTCCTCCCTCTTGATCTCCTCTGGCACCTCTCACGGTCACCTTCTCTCAGCTCACAATCGGCTTAGGGACTGCCACCCAGAGCTGTGCCTTTTGGACCAAGCTTGGTGTGGCAGGGCTCGGGTTCTGTCGCTCAGTTCCAAAAACCCCAGGGCAGGGGATGCCTGGGGTCCATGGAGGCAAGACCACCTCCTTCCCACCTTCTCCCTGCCCCTCACCTGTTAGTTGTTCTGGGATCTAGGGGCTGCTGAGACACCTCAGGACCACGTCCAGGAAACAGTGGCGGCTGAAAGGGGGTGTGGTTTTATGTGGGGGCGGGACTTCCCACCGTCCCGCCCACACTCCAGCTGACCAAAGGCCAGAGGACTTGGGGCTGGTGTGTATATATATCCATGGGCCTGTCCTTGTGTTGAGCTTGGCTTAAGCTCTGTATCTGTATGTGCAGGGAGTGTGTGTGAGATGAGGGTGTGTTTGTGTGGCCTGTGTGTGTTCAGGGCACCTGTGTGTGCATGTCTTTTGTTTTTGTGGTTGTGTGTGTGTGTGTGTGTGTGTGTGTGTGTGTGTGCTGTCTGAGGGTATGTTTGTGTGTGTCTCTTGATTCAGCAGAATCTGGATAAGGAGGGCTGTGTGCAGTTGGGCAGAACTAAGAGTGAATAAGTATGGGAAGGGGGTGTAGGATCAGGGTAGGTGCCCCTGTGAAACTGTGTGGATAAGACAGCAGATAAAGCTGTTGGCCGTGGATGTTGACCACAAGTGAACAAGGGTATGTTGTCATGTGCTGAACAGGGTTGTGTGTACAATATGCATATTTCTGTGTTGTTCTGCAGTTTTTGTGAATGCATGTCCCTTGTGAACATTTCCTCTATTCTTCCATTTAATCAACAAAACATTTATTGAGCACCCATTGTGTGCTAGGTTCTGGGGATGCAGTGGTGAACAAACCATGAAAATCTCAACCTTCATAGAGCTGACATTCTAGGGGGAGAATCAGATGACAAAAACATCTCTGCAGTGCATATCTGTGTATCCCCATGTGTTGTGTTGGGAGAGTAATGTGTCTGTGTACTGGGTGAGAATTTGTGCACAACTGATCATCCCTTGGTTTTGAAACTGTGTGGATATGTTTATGTTTGTTGAGTGTTTGTTTCTATTGTTTGTATGCATGAGTGTGACTGTGTGTTTCCTAAGTATGTGTTTGGTTGCAGAGTGTGAGTTCATGTGTTTATATATATTTGTGTGTTTCTGTGTCTTCTGAGTATATGTGTGTGTGTGTGTGTGTGTGTGTGTGTGTGAATTTGCAGGATGTGTGGGTCCCTGTTTGTAAAGTATGTGTCTGCAGAATGTGTGTGAATATATGTTTGTGTGTCTATGTTCACTGAGTATATGTTTGTGTGTTCATGTGTATGTTTTTTTCTTCTGACCCCTGATTTAGAAATTATGTGTATGTTTGTGGAGTGGGCGTGCCTATGGTTGTAGAGTGTGTGTATGTGATTTTGTGAGTAATGACCACCATCACAAGTCTGTCTCCCTTCCATCTTAGAATAAGACAGGGATTTAGTCTATCTCTTTCACTGCTGTACCCCTCCGATTCCAAAACACGACCCTGCACACAGTAGGTGCTCAATACGTGGTGAATAGATGAACAAATCAGTAGACATTCCCTCTGGGTCCTTCTGTGAGCATCCAGGGATGTCTTGGGGGCCTCAGCAATCAAGACTTGCCCGACCTAGCCTTCCCCTGGTCCATCTCGAAGTGGTCCAGGGTGCTTGTGGGCCAGATCTGTTCAGCCTCTGGGTCATGCCTCCCAGCAGACCTTCCGCCCACCTTCCCCTCCCCTGACCTCAGCCTCCACCCTGCACTTGGCTTTCAGCACCGCGGACAGGAGCGCGCGAGCCCAGCACCACGGAGAGCGCCCGCGGCGTCGACTTTCGAGTCCGGCGGTGGACAGCGAGAGGCGCGAACAACGGACTCAGCGAGATGGCAGCACAAACACGCCGACAAACACAGCGAGCGGCACAGAGAACGCAGGCAACGGCGCAGAGACGAGGCGGCAAGCTCCGGGGAAAGCCCGGACCCAGTCTCGCCGTCACCCGGTCGGCCGGCAGAGGTCGCTCTTGCCCAGTGACCGCGCCCTTCAGGGCTTTCAGGCCAGCTACAGGCCAGGACCCTTGGGCAGCCCTTCTGCGCTCTGTCCCCCAATGCCAAGGCTTGGAGTGGGAGGGCTCAGAGTGGGAGGCACGGTCTGCCCTCACCTATGTGAACACGGGCAGGGGGAGAAGGCGCTGAAAACCCTTCAACTGTCCCCCTCTCCAACTACCAGCTAATCGCTCCTATAAATACAGCCGGCCTGGCCTGACCCCTTAATCCCGATCGCGAGGGCGAGGTCGCTAGAGGGGCTGCGGGTTCTCTGAGGAGGCTCTGATCGCGGGAGGCGTCATATGCATGTAAATATCTTTCCAAGGGAGCATCTCCCATGAGGACGGGTCTCCTCAGTGAAAATGCCACTCAGTAAGAATGACATCTCTCTCGGGATGCGGAAGTCTCGTGGGTGAGGACGATTTCCCACAGAAGATAATGGCTTTTAAGGGGTCTCTCACTGGGGGGGTGGTATACTCCCCAGGGTCCCCACGTGAAAGGCCACCCGTGGGCTCTTTCTCTGCTGGAATGCCTCCGGGGGAGGGGCTTTTGGAGAGGAAAGTCACCTCTTGGGGACCATTTCTCTTAGGAATGATTTTCAGGGTGGGGGAGAACTTTTGATTGGCGAGCACGTCTCTGTAAAACGATCTCCCCCCAGGAAAGCGTCTTCTCCCCAGGGGGTCTGCGGGGGGATGTCTGCATAGGCGTATCTCAGTGAGGATGTCTCCCTTGGGTCTTTCTCGAGTCGGGGGTCGCCTCACGAGCTGTCTCTCCCCGGGGTGTCTGTGTGTCAGGGTCTCTCGGTGGCTCGGCTCCCACGGGGGCATCTGGTGGCTCCACC